AAATAAGAACCAAGATGCATTATGTAAAGGTACAATTCCCAATGAGAAATGTAATTGTGTTGTATACCTACAATGTACCAATAAACGAATTTAATAAAGTGCAAAAAAAAGAGAAGAGATACCTTTGACTATCATTAGGCAAGCATTAGTGTTCAATTTTTTTTCTAGCAGCCATTCCTGAAAGGGAGCAAGTATGACAATAAACCCAGAAAGGTAAGTTGGAGTGAGACTAGTAGACAATGGTTACTCACCAGAATTTTGAGCTGAGTAGTAATGTGATAACGTATTTGTTTTAGAAAAAGACTAATTTGGCAGTAGTGTATAGATTTAATGATAGGAAAAAGATATAAGAAGTAGTGAAAACATTTTTGGTGTCCCTTGGCATTTCCCATTTTGCAGGCAGACTAAAATCTGCTGGTGGCAATTACTGGCAATTGGATCTGGTGTTCAATAGGGATATAGTAAGAGATATTGGAGAGATAGAATTAGTAGAATTTGATTATTGATTGGATGTGGGATGGACAGAGGCAAGGAGAAAGAACTGCCAAAGTGAATGTCTATTGCAGCTGGAATGCATACTGGACTTTCAATGCAAGGCTCTAACAGAGTTTGAGTAGCTGTCTCCATGTAGCTAATATAGATACCACCAGATTTGCTAAGAAACGGTCTGAAGAAAGAGTAGAGGGTGAAAGTTACACCTTGGGAGAAATGCATACACTGAGGAGAGAAACAAGCAAGAAGCAAAAGAGGATCCAGATAAAGAACAGCCTAGAAATTTAAAAGAAAGAGAACAAGAAAACACAATGTTGGAGGTCAAGAAACTTTAGGAAGATAGGAGTGATGAACAGATTGAAATGATAAAACAAGTTCAAATTAATAAGAATTTAGAAAAGGTCACTGGAATTTATTAAAAAAAGATCATTATCAGTGGTCTTAGAATAATATCAACAAGAAAAATGATGGTTTATACTATCTCTTATTGTCCACAGTCTGCTCTGTATTAAGACTATTTGAACTTGAAAAAATGAGTATAGGTAGTATGTGTAATTCATCTCCTTATCCCCCAAGGTTCTGTGGCAAATAGAAGGTGTGCAATAAACATTTATTAAATTAAATTTGATCAGATTAAATTAAATTTAATTGAATTCTATTGCTTTGTGTTGCTTTACTATAAGAAGTGATAATAAAGAATGAGAAAGCAACACATAGAGGTAATTTTTTTAAAAAATTCTGGAGTAATAGTAATAAGAGAAAGAAGAAAGAAAAAAGAAAGGTCAAGAAAGGTTTTGTTTATTTAAAGCTATTAGATATTTGTACCTGTTTCAAGGTACAGGAACAGACTTTGAGTCTGAGGGAGAATTCAAACATAAGAGAAGGAAATATTGACCATACAGAGATCCTAGCCAGAATGATCTAAGTAATGGTGATACTTACGTAAAAATTAATCAAGCTGCATTTGTGTACTTTAGATAAGTTATACTTCAATAAAAATAATTTTTAAAAATATAAAAGTACTTCAAGAAGAACTAAATTGAGGGCACATGTAGTTGTTAAATTTTCTCTGAAATAGCAGGAAGCTATTGTTTAGCAATTCTTGAAATTGTGCTTCTTTAATCTTAAAGAAGTTATTTTAGGTAGATAACCAAATAACCCTGGTTATCTACCAAAAGGCCTGCCTTTTAGCTTTAACATCCACTTATATCTAACATCCACTAATATCCACTTACATCTTTTCCCCAACTGAACTCTGACTTTCAAGCTCTGAGAAAATATCCCACAGGACTGGGCCCACCTTAACCATCTACCTTCCTTCTAATCTATGTAAATCTCTGTAGTGGCTACCTTATGTAAAATACAGTAAAAATCTATTTTACATAGTTTTTATTAAATGTTAAAGAAAACATAAAAAAGAAGATAGAAAAATAGGAAGCAGGGAGAAGTTCTAATAATTCCCCAAATTATATATTCCATGGTTTCAAGACTATTTCAATATATATGCTAATTTGTTTTATTTATACCACTACATCCTCTTAGTTCATTGAAAAGAAAGTTTTTCCCCTCCTCACGAATGGTCTAAAGCCCCTGGCAGTCAGGCCTAGCTTCGTCCCTGTCGCTAACCTGGGGCACGTCCACCTGACAGACACAAAGCCACTGTTACACATTCCGGTAACTCTGTAAATATTGTCTTGTACCAGAATTGTTATTATGCAGCCTTCATTTGGGCTCGTTTCATCATCTTGCACTGTGAAATAGCTTTACAGTGCATTACTACAACCAGAAGAAGACATACATATATTTAACAGTATATTGGATAGTTGTATACTAATAAGCAAAGTCTCTGTTGCAACTTACTGCATAGTATATGCCCCAACTTACTGAAGAAAAGCGCAGGCATTAGTGTGCAGCAAATCTGTTCTTTTGGTTTCATCACTAACAAAAGTGCCTCATGAAAGTACATTTGGTTTTTAGGGTGCCATATTGTTAAAATTAGATAACTCACATTGAATAATTGAATGCATTTTTTCTGTAACAAATTTCATTACATTTACCAGTTTTAACACAGGTAGATACAGAACTTCCATTCTTTAGTCATTCCAAGTGGATCTGAGTTTTATATTCAAAGTTTTAATACAGTTTTTGAGTTTTGTGTGACTTGATTTTTAATCTTTCTGTAAAATACATAACTTAAATGAACATATTATATGTGCATCTTTTCTTCAGATACCAGATTTGATATAAATGCTGTAACATAGGTGTGTAGACAGTGGACCTGTGATGGAACTGGCTTCTTTATGAAAAGAATGTAATTCTGCATGAGAACTTAATGAATCCAAACCTATGTCACGCCTGTGTGCATACCCAATTAAACACTGGAAATAAAAATTGTTTTGGTGACCTTTGGAAAAAAAAAAGAAAGAAAGAAAAGAAAATTTGGGGGCTGGAGATTTAGCTCAGTGGTTCCACTGCCTGCCTTGCAAGTGCAAGGTACCAAGTTTGACCCCTGTACCAAAAAAAAAACAACAACTTTGTGCTGTTATCTATTTGTTTCTTTTTTGTAAGAGTCTTTTTCATCTATGACTTGTACTCTAACATTTTGGCCATTCTTTTAAGATTATGGCACAGAGTGTATTAACTAATGTTATTCTTTAATTAATTTGTTATGAAATTTTGCTTTATTTTTTCATAGAAGTAAGAAGATTATTTTTTAAAAAACATTTCCTTTATTAATATCTACTTGCATTACATTGAACCTTTAAAAAGAAGTTACTTTAAAAATAAAAGTGCAGGGCTGGGGATTTAGCTCAGTGGTTTCGCTGCCTGCTGAGCAAGCGCAAGAACCCGAGTTCAATCCCCGGGACCAAAAAAACAAACAAAAAAATAAAATAAAATAAAAGTGCATGTCATCTATGTGAGTCTTCACTCTATAACTAAATAAATACATCATAGTCAATCCTTTTTATTCTGTACATAGTGCCAATCCCTATCTGGATGATCTTGGTAAATATGACATTGATTACAAATGTAGAACACAGACCACCTCCCACTATTCCTCTCTCAAGTCAAGAAATTGTGTTTTGTATTATACCTATATTGGTACCTATATCTAAGGTGCTGATTAAACATTTTTGACAATGAATATAAACATGTGTTTATAGTAAGAATTATTTGGAACACTAGGTCCACAAAATGCTATGAAAAGATATTCCATGGCCAAACTTGTTTGGGAAACACTACATATAAAAACCTTCTCTTGGAGGTTTTACAGTGCATATTAGTTTGTTAAAGGCTTTAAGTTAAGAATTAATTATGAATTAAGTTACATTTTTAGGTTTATTCAGTCTAGCATTTTTCCAAACTTTCTTTGATCATGAAAGCTTTATTTCTTGTATAATTCATTATATCCTGTGTAATCAGGTTTTCATTAGAATCTACCCTGAAAGATACTAATTCAAGCAAATCTATGGATGAAAAGCCCACAGACAATCACTAGGAAATGAATATCCAAAATCTATCTCTAGCCTATGAGCATTAGGTTAGCAAGGACAACTGTAACATTAGACCATAATGTGTCTCTTGTTGCTATTTTCAGGGATTTAAAATATACTGAACTGAATGTACCATTATTTTAAATTATAAAAATATTTATTAGAATCTTAAGAGGGAACCTATAGAAAGAGGCTAAGAAGAGATGCAGATGGTAGAGGAGCTGAAAGGGGGATCTCATAATGAGATAGGAGAGAAAAAATAAAGATAGGTCAAAAAGGAGACAAGGAAAATCATAATGTTAAAATTATACTTTTAAACAAAAATGCTTATAATTTTTTTCCTTCCTAGTCTACTCACTACTAAATTATTAAATCTTAAAAAATTACACAGATTTCCACCCCCCAAAACACAAATCCAGCCCCAGACCATAATGCACCTTTCCCCAATGCCTCAGTGTATACATCTTGATTTTGCCTCATAAACCTTTAAATGCCTCTCACTGATATGTCTTGTAATTCTTTTCTATGATGTATATCAGCAAGCCTTCAACGTACCCCATGGGTGGGGTGAGTTGTGGTCCCCATTTCTTCACTGGGGGACAGCTTTGAACCCCATCCAGTGACAATAAAAAGATACAAAAGGAGTTAGAATGATTCAGCCCAGAGGTGAGAATGGAGAACGTATCAAGTAGCTATTTTAGTGTCTAATTTACTAATGGGTAGCAATCTCAACCCTCACAGAGATCAAAACAATATTTGACCTTAATGAATGGAAGAATAAAATTACATTTAAGAAAAAAAAAAGCCCTCTTTACTGAAAAGGATGTGACAACATCGGAAAAACTGATATTAGAGAGAATTAGACTTTTTGTCCTATCAGTGTTAGAGACTCTTATCTGTTATATATGACCTAAGCAAGTTCTTGCTTAGGGGCAAGAGATTAGAAATGATAACCTTCTGTACAGTGAATCTTTGAAACTTCTGAAGATGTAATCTCTTATCTTCCTTACTTGAATTTTCCCAACCACGAGTCAGCAATAGCTGCTCCCAGGATGGGAGTGAAATAACAGAGGCTGCTGAATGCATGGTATACAGATGTGGAGGTGTCTTCACTCCAATGCAGGAAATACAGGAAATACAGGGTCAGCACAGCTGAGATTTAAAAAAAAAGAGGAGACAAAACAAGATAGACGGATTAAAATGATTCATGGAGAAAAATATATTAGATCTCTAGTCTTTGAAGGTGGTTTTGGCCTTCCATACTCATCAGTGCAGTTACCTGAGGAGTACTGCTAGGTAGTTGAAGCAGTGTTCATGAAAAGTGTAAGAGTAAATGGGGCTATGCTGAATATACAATACAGTATTCCCTCCTTCCGTCTATGTACACCCATAGCCTCCTCTAGGCTAATAATGAAGACAGCATAATGTGTCCAATATCTTTTCCTCTTCCTTCCCAGGAAAAATATAGTTCATAGACCAGAGGAAGAGGTATGAAGAATGGAACTCACATGATAACTTTTCCACTTATATTCACACAGGTTGTGTTGTGGTTTCTATCAGGCCTTTTGGATCTTGGCCAGCATAAGTTATTAAGTGAAATCCCATCAGGCATTTATTGGAGGTCTTAGCCAAAGCAAAAGACCAATTGGTATTAAGGCAGAAAGAGTGGATAAGGGAACCTAGTACATTTAAGGAGACAAGGCTGCTACAAACATGAGGTGAGCGTGAGTGGAAAAGACTCTGGGACACAAAATTACCTTTCATGCCATAATAGGAAAAGCGTTCACAGAATTCATTCACCACAATGAAGGCAATGCTCACTGGATAGCTGGAGCCACAGATTTTCTATGCAAGAGAAAGGCGATGGTTTAAGTATGAGCTATTTTCCTGTTTCAACTATTAGATTGCTCAACAATTGAAAATTTAATTTATTTTAAATAGCCATGGTAGGTAATATAGAACAATGGTCTCTATTCCATGAAATAGCTATTATCAAACCAGAAGTGCTTACATTACTGACTTAGAAGTTAATCTGAATATTACTTTGTCCTTCATTTAACCCAGAACTGCTCAGGCATCTTTTGATCCAAGATCTGCTCTTCTTCCCATAACTACTAAATGAAAAACTGAGGCTCTAGTTGAGAGAATAATCATGTTTATTGCTAGGAGCAGAATGAAGAGCTGATATTAAGAGTCTTAGATTCTGATGTCAGTGTTCTGCTCTGCTTCACTGTAGGGAAAAATCTCACTTGTCCCCCATGGCCTTGTTCATCATGCTGGGAGGAATTCTGGCAATATGATGGTTTCTCCTTCAGAGACTGCTAGAGCCAGGCACAGAACTCAATATTGAGGACAGAGATTCCTAAAGTTAAGCTAATTAATCACACTGACTATGGGCAGACACTTCTGAAATCTTGTAAAGTTTAATGTCTTCCCTTTCTACTAAAGACATTCTGTAACATTTTCATGATAATCCTACTGGACATTAGAAAAACTATGTTATTTCATGCAGTATATCAGTGAGAATATAAAGGATGTCAGATTTTATTCAAATTTCTACTCATTACCGTAGCTCAATTAATGTGAGGCAGGATGGAGATGTCAGTCTTTGAGATTGTAATGTAAATTTTATGAGCTTTATATTGCCGCTTACTTCATAAGCTATGAAATGTGTGTGTGTGTGTAAGCATCCTTAAATTCTTTGGGACCAGAAGAGATATAATTAACTAAATAGATATTACAAATATATGTTAGTATCTGATAATAACTTGCTTGAAAACACAACAAACTGGACTTCTTACCCTCTCAGCTCACAGCTTGAAAGTTAAACAGTGTATAGTTTAGTTAACATACTGTCACTAGCTGTGTAACACTGTCACTGACTGTGTTAAGATACTGACCCTGTCATGTCACCATGCCTGCTTGTATCTCAATTCTGTTACAATTACAAGGAAATAAGAGTAATATTATTTCTTAATTCATAGGAAGAATTCATTAAATATTGGCTATTATTACTAAAACCTCTCTGTAGGATTTTTGATAGGATGACTGAATGAAATAATAAATTTGGAAATGCTTTAACAAGTATATAATGTAAAACATTATGTGTTCTCTTTCCTATCTCCTACTAAAAACTGGGAACACTTAGTAACAGAGATTGGATCTATTCTAAAACTTCTGATGGTATCGAGAAGAAGGTTCTGTACACAGGGAGAACTAAAGGCTGGGTAAAGAAAGAACAATCACACACAGTTCTCCAGACAGAAATGCTTGCCAAATTTCCCTGGACATTCAATTTGCTTTTCTTTCCCCCAGAGAAACTCAGAATATGGAGTGAAATCCACAGCAAAGCTCTGAATCCCAACTGAGGAACTCTGACTCCCTCTTCCTGCTGCTTCTGTTTAAGTAAAAAAACCCTTCTGTTTAGATTTGGTTTTCAGGTGCATTTTAACTGCATCAGAGAAGAGTTTTTATACCCAAATACAGCTCGGCATGAAGTTTTCAGAAGCCAAGGAGGAAAGACAAAAAACAAGGCTATTTACTGAACCATAAATGAATTGGGGTACTCACCGGAGGTGACTGCTTTGGAGGGCTGGAAGGTTTAGGCGGTACCTCTTCAGTGGAAACAGGTGAAAAAAGAGTTTCCTTGGACTCATTTTTCTGGAAAGGATTCATGGCTGGCTCCTTACTCTCTTTCTCCTCAAGCATTTGGCTTCAGTAGGCAGTTAGGAGAGTTGGCAGCTTACAGCGAAAAGGGGGACTGGAGGAGGAGGAGGGGTGGTGACAGCAACTAGGTTTAACCCTGTGGTTGTCAGTTTTAGGAGCTGCCTTCTCCGATCAAAGCTGGGAGGTATAGGAAAAGAAAGGGCGGGTACACAAAAGAATGACTGTGTAAAAGGTAAAGCATGGGGAAATGAAAACAATCTGTCACAAGTCATGAGACAGGATGAAACAATGCCAGAGAAAATGGGTATCTTTAAGAAAAATTAACTTTGCAAACGTGTATTAGATAGTTAAGCACGCAATGTCTTGAGCACAGACTAAAAATAACTCATTTCAGAATGACAATAGCTGCTATTTATCGGACACCTATTTTATGCAAAGTTAATATATATATGAATTACATACACATTATATACATAAACTGTATATTTATTTATTCTAATTCTTATTACTATCCCTATTTTACAGACACTAATGTTCCAAGAGGTTAAGTAACTTACTCAAAATCACATGGCCAAATAGCAGATATGAAAGGTAGAGATGAGTATCAGTAAACACTTTGGCTGTTATTCAGGTATGGAAACTATGGAAATGGAAATATTGGAACTTAGGGAAGTTGAAATGCTTTGAAGAGGGAAAGCCATCACAAAACTGAATTTGAGACAAGAAAGATGTTGATTTTGGTTTTCTTCATCATTAAGTTCAGCTAGAAAGTTCCTATACGAGGGTCCGGGTTTTAGTTCAGTGGCACTGAGCCTGCCTTGCAAGTGCAAGGTCCTGAGTTTGATCCCTGGTACCAAAAAGTAAAAAAAAAGATCCTATAAGATATTTAAAAGGTGGGGCTCAAGAAAAGTGTTGGCGATGTATATTTGGGAAATACTCTTTTCTTTTGCTAAAGTCATTCCTTGTGTTTCTTTTTTTTTTTTACTTCAAGATAAATCAATCCATCTTTTCATTTAAAACACAAATTTTAATTTGAGCAAAAATTATCAACAAGTTACTTTCTAGGTACTGTTGCAAACATTTCCTTAATTTTTAGTAAATGAACTCCTTAATGACTCCAGAATTTCATATTTCATCCTATCAGAAGAGGAACAAGAATAAACATGATGACAATAGATGCATTTTATACTGGGTTATTTTTGCTAAGTCAAAGAGATAAGAGAAGAACAAAATAATGTGTAGTCAATCAAGAAAAAAAAAAAAGAATGGCCAACAGCCATGAAGACTAAACCACGAAGAGGATAGGCAACACTAGAATATATTATTTTATTTGAGAATACAAGAGAGAAAAATCTATGACTCTATCCCTTGCAAAATTCTTACATTATCTTTTGAATAATTTATCAACACATAAAGCCTTTTCTTCCCCAAACTTTAACTAAGACTTTGACCATGTTTTCTCAGTTTTTCTTATACTCAATTCCTCTTTCACCAAACTTTACTCAAGAATAATCCAGCTTCTTTTCTGACTGTAGCATTAATGATTAATCTGTAGTTACTCTTAGAAGAAACACTTTCTTTTCTGACTTATTTTGTGAATACAAAACAAACAGAAGTTGCTAATCAAATTAACTAGTAAAGGCACAGATACTTATGTCAGTGGTTTCTCTTGTGCTAGCCTTGTACCTCTTGGCACTTGAGCTGGCAGAGCAGATGAAATAATCTATGTATGCAATGCAACACTCAGTTGTGCTCATAGGTAAATCAAATGTCAAACTTCAGGGTATAGACATTGATTTTCTAACATTCCTTTGCTTATCTAAAATTCTTTTAGTTATGGTAATAAAATGATAGAGTCATTTTGATATCATAGAGTCAAATGATATCAGAGATAAGAAGGAATCTTAATCTTGTCATATAAAAAGAAAACTTCACTGATAAGAATAATTTAGGGTCATGTATTTTCCTTTAAAATTCTGATTTAGTAGATCTCAGTTAGAGACCTAAAAACCTGCATTTTAAATAAGCCCTTCTAGTGATTCTTACTGCAGGAGTTTGGGAAATGCCGGTTTTGAGTCTCTCTTATTCTAGCCTGAAGAATATTTCAGAGGAGCTCAGAGGGGACAGAGCAAAGACTAGAACTGTAGGCTCCCAAAACATATGTCTAGAACTTCTCATACTATATCAAGGTACCTTTCATACCTTATTATTTTGCTAGTGAACATAAACAGGAGGAGAAAAAGAAAAAGACAAAAGACAGATGTCCTGGGTAAGAATGAGTATAAACTCTTCAGAGAGTTTCCAAACAAAAGTGGAAGAATCTAAATATTTTAATTAAATATCAGAGATAAAAGAATATTTGTGGCCTAATGATTATGATATCAGAGAGTAAAGTTTTCCAGTTATATGTAGAAAAGAGATTGAAACTCTAAAATTATAGATATTAGTAGTCAGAAAGAAGTGAAAAATATGAAATTAAAAGAATATATGTTTAACAAGGTCCCTGAATATAAAATCAGAATATAAAAAAATACATTTAAATACAAGCAACAAAGAAATAAAAAAGGAAATTTTTAAATTATGCCAGATTTAACAGCATAAAAAATACCTAGGGATAACTATAATGAAAGATGTTTATGAAATCAACACTAAAATTTATAAAAATGCTACTGAAGAAAATTATAGAAGATCCAAGTAAATGAAGACATATCATATTTATGATTTGGAAGGATTGTGTTATAAAGACACTGATATTTGCCAGTTCAACCTACAGTTTGAGAAATCCAGAAAGTTTATGAATATAGAAAATGACACTGACTTTTAAAATTCATACAGAAATGCAAAACTCCTAGAATACCAAAGTCAAGCTTGAAGAACCATTGTGGAAGACTTGTACTATGCAATGTAAGACCTATTTGGGGATGTAGCTGATTGGTAGCATGCTTGCCTAGCATGCACAAGGCCCTAGGTTCATCCTCCATAAGACACACTGAGTTTGTCCTGACGGTTTCAAGGAGACAGAAGATGTGTGTGTACCACTGGCCAAGGGGGAAGCCACATGAAAACCCAACACACCCAACCTACTGTGAGGACTTGTGACTACATCCAGAGCCAGAAGCCAGACTCATACTTTCAATTATTCAGAAAGGCGTCATTCAGGAACACATGCACACACACACACACACAAAGGTATCCTTACAAAGTGTGAGAAAAGTTTGCACTATGTACAAAGGATGTGTCTACACTATAAAATTAATCCCTAAAATCAGTAACAAGAAGATGGATAAGTGAATGGAAAAAAGTTCAAATGTTGTCACAAAGAAGATACCCAAATAGCCAATAAATCTATGAATAGGTTAGCTGCTCTGTGGATGGAGATACAGATTGTTTAACTAGTTTTCAATTGATGCATATTCAGGTTTGGTCTTTTGGTATTATAAACAATACCACAATAATAATATGGCACATAAGTTAAATTTCTTTGCAAGATAAACTTCAAGAGTCAAAAGTATATGCTTTTGTAATCTTTGAAACTGCCAATAATTTTCTTGCCTGTTTTTCTCTCCTTTTTTATTAGGACATGTTTGCAATTCAGGCAGTTTACAATCATCTTGGAAAGTGGTTAAATGTACATATTACAGCTTGTTTCTTTTTTTAATCCCCTTCCCCTTCCTTTTTCCTCCTTCCTTCTCCTCAGGTTCCCCTGTCCCTTTTTTTGTACTTGTTGATATTATTCCACTTAGCTCATGTTATGGTATATAATGTTTACATTAATTGGGATTATTAGGTTCCTGTACATGGTACATCTTTAGTCCTCTCATTTCCCCTTCCCTTCCTCTTCATTCTTCACCCTTGTTCCTTTGGACCACTTCCCTAATGCAAGAGAACTATCCCCTGTCCTCTATCTATCCTTTATCATTTTCTTTGTTTGTACTTTGCCTCACTCAAATGAGAGATACTATATGGCATTTAAGCTTGTGTGTCTGGTTAATTTCACTGAACATTGTATTTTCCAGGTTCATCCATTTTCCTACAAATGTCTCAAATGTGTAATTCTTTATAGCAGAGTAAATTCCATTATACACAAATACCACATTTTCTTTATCCAACAGTCTATTGATAGTTATACAGGCTCCTTCTAGTATTTAGCTGCTACAAAGTGTGCTGTTATAGGCATTGGCATGCATGTATCACTGTATTATGATGACTTAAGCTGTTTGGGGAAGATACCTAGCAGGGAAATAGCTGAGTCACATGGAATTTCTAATTTCAGTTATTTGGGAAATCTCCATACTGATTTCCATAATGGTTGTACTAGTTGGCATTCCGACCAACAATGCCTTTTTCACCACAGCCATGTCAGCATTTGTTATCGCTTGACTTGCTAATGATTGCCATTCTTTCCAGAGTAAGATCAACCTTAATGTTGTTTTAATTAGCATTTCTCTAATGGGCAGAGATGCTGAACATTTTTTCATATATTTGTTAGCCATTTGTGTTTCTTCCTCTGTGAAGTGTCTGTTCATCTCTCTAGCACATTTCTTGACTAGGTCTTTAATTTTACGTGGTTTCATTTATTTAAGTTCTTTGTATATTCTAGATATTAATCCTCGGAGGAGTAGGTGGCAAAACATTTCTCAGTGTGTAGGTTGTCTGTTCATTCTGCTGATTGATTCTTTTGCTGTACAGGAGCTTTTTAGTCTGATAAAATCCCATTGGTTGACTCTTGCGGGATTGAGGTTCTGTTTAGAAAATCCTTTCCTACACAAATGTCTTCAAGTGTTTTACCTATTTTATCTTCCAGAAGGTTTAATGGTTCTGTTTTAATCTTTTGATCTTTGATATATTTTGATTTTAATTTAGTATATAGTGAGAGATAAGGTTCCAGTTTCATTCTTCCACAAACAGATAACCAGTTTTCTCAGCACCACTTATTGAATAATCTATCTTTCCTCCAGAATATGGTTAATGAAGTTGAGGCTAGAAAAACTGTAAAAGAAAATCAATGAATCAAAGAGCTGGTTCATTGAAAGAATAATTAAAATAGGTAAGCCTTTAGCAACACTCACCGAGAAAAAGGGAGAAAAGACATCAATGCAATTAGAAATGAAAAAGGTGAAATCACAAGAGATATTGTCAAAATCCACAAGACAGTAACTACTTTGAAAAATTATATTCCAACAAATTAGCAAATTTTGAAGAAATGGACAGATTCTTAGACACATACAAACTACCAAAACTAACCCAAGAAGACATAAATATGCTTAACAACCCAATAACAAGCAATGGAATTGACTGAGTAATAAAGAATC